GAGGGGCTGGGTTTCCACATGCACCGCGACCAGTTGTTGATCTATTGTACGTCCCCCTTTGATATTCTACCAGTCGCCATACTCTACCGGTACTGGTGCGTACTATCAGCCCCGTTCAGGCAATGAGGTTGGCCCTTGGTACCTGATGCTTTCCCCATTTACCAGAGGCACTGGAAACTACTTGGGCGGGAAACTTGTCAAATTTTGCTCAGAGGTCTCCTAGAGACATGAGGATCTTTTACGTGCCGTAAATCTACGACACGGGACCCACGGCTTAAAGTCCCTCCTGGAGGACTTGTTCCCTGAATTTTTCCGCCCTTAAAAATTCCATGACCTCTGTTGGGTTTGAGCCCGCGTACCTTGAGTCATGAGGTGGGACGTTACCCCTAGACTACGGAGGCCGCTTGCTGCAATGTTTTACAGACGTCAGAATTCTCCCTCCGTATAATTCTGGTTGAAGAACAAAAACGGAAGTACAAGAAGTGAGTGGATGTTGTTCTATCGCTGTAGGTTAAGAGCTCTGGTCATCTACAGTTTGTAACGGTGATTGCGATTGGCTACAATATAACTCTAGCTTCCTCGGTACTTACTCTAAAACGATTGGGAGAGATGGCTAGAAAGAAAACACTTGATGGGTAAAGCAGGTGGTATAAAATCGATGCCGATGGGCAGAAGTTCTTTGGACAGCTGCTCTCGACCTGCGTGTCACAGCAANCACTGACTGGCTAGGAAACTAAGTAACTGAACCAGCCAACTAAGTAACTCACTCACTCCATGGAAATGAGCCCTTGAGAAACCAACAGTTACTTAGTCACTGGAGAAAATTCCTGCACTTTATGGAACCTGTAGATTCATTACTGTGTTCACAAGACCCTGCCACTGGTCCCCCACCCTGAGCCAGATGAATGCAGTGAACACCCAGTCATCCTGTTTCACTAAGTACATAATATTGACATACGATAGTGACTAGACATGGGGTTCTGATTATTTATTCAATTTCATGGACGCTAAATAATTTTATTTACAAGTAGTTACGCAATTTACAAGTATGTGCTATTGTTTCACAGTGTATTATATCACTCTTGGTTGCTGGCTGTGTCTTCTCACAAATGTTGCTAGGTTTCAGGCTGTGATCATGGGCAGACTCTTTTGTTCAGGTTGGTTTAGGTGAATTGTTGCTGGCCCTCTCCAGAATGTTCTTTGTTGGTTCAAAGTCCTGTGGACTCATGACAATGTTTTACAATCTCACAACTCTGAGACTTGTGTAACTCTCGTCAGACTCTTTTGTTAATATCCAGGCGCTCTGTATATTGCTTTGTTAGGGGTTTATTAGAAAACACTGCCCCTAACAGTTCTTGAGCCGTGGCGTATGTACATGGCTGTCAGGGATTGGTTGTTGTGTGCATTAGTGGGTGTCTGTAATATGTGCTCAACTTTACCTAGCGGTGGAGACCTTTGGAACATTTCTCTGATTCCATGATTCTGACTTTTAGGCATCATGTCACATTTATTATCTTCCCATCTATGTGTAGGTCTTTTTAGTGGCCTCTTTCCTTCAGGTTTTGCAACCAAACCACAGTATTCACTCCTCTCCCAAGCATGGTACATTCCATGCCCATCTCTTTGTTGGCTTGATCATTCGAATAATATTTTGTGAGGAGAGGAAGCTATGGGGCTCCTCAGTTTGCAGTTTTCTCAAGCCTCCTATTACTTTATCTCTGTTATGTTCAAATATTCTTCTCAGCAGTCTGTTTTGGAATGTCATTCTTAATGTGAATGGCCAAGTTTAACACCATACAGAACACAGGTAAAATTACAGTTGTATTTATTGTAATTGCCACGTTTTTACGATAGTGTATGAGAAGACAGGAGAGTCTGAAGTGAATGGCAGCAAGCATTCCAAATTTTATCTGCTCTTAATTTCCTCTTGTATCAAATTTTCGTTTATTACTGTTGTTTCAAAGTATTTGAACTTTGCCCCATTTTCAAAGGATCTCAAAAGTACGTTGGTAATAAAGTTACAATTTCTTATAAATAATGCACAATCTCATGACCATAGTGTATGCTCAGTATTGTCTGGTATAAAGTAGCCGAAAACAGCAGTACTTCTGCATCCATCATCTTCTTTTACCCTTTGTTGTGTGTCAAGTGCTGTAGTTGTGTAAACATTAATTGTGCATGTCACTACTTGGTAGGAATTGTGCTTGAATGTTTTATGAGAATGACATTTTTTAGAAATATATTCCTACACAATTCTGCAACCTGTTTAAAGAAGAACAAGCTGCTTATTGGAAGTATATAAGAAATGTTCATCCATTGATGATAAAAAAAATCCATCTTTGAAATCCCAGGAAGAAGTTTTCTGTGTTACTGTTTGAATGTAACACCCTATTGTTGGAAAAAGAGGATGATGCCTTGGACAAAACTGATGGCAACAATGAAATAAATGGATGTAGTAGACATACAGTTGTGCAGACATTAAATGAAAGCCTTCAGATTGTAGGTGAATTGTGAGCCTGACTGAAAAGAATAAGTGAGACAGTAATACCTCAGCAAAGTTGTCGAATTTGAAAGTTCAGTAAGATCACTTCTTAAGAGTTCTGTCACCAGCAGGTCCTGATTCTATAACATAGCTAAAATGTGTGATGAAAGAACAAACAGAAGTTCCAAAGTTACAATTTTGACTATTCTACCAAAGGAATTTAGGAGAATAATTTCCAGTTGTCTCTGACTATGTGACACATGCAACTGAACAGCTAGTAAAGGAATACAAGTATAGAATTCTGTCATCACCATATCTAAAGCCTGGAAGAAGTCTTAGAACCAGAAGGAACTTACACTGTTGAGAAGTTCTATTGCAATGGAAGTGACAGCAGAGTTATCCCCCCCCCCAAAAAAAAAAAAAAGATTATATGACAATTGAAACTGGGGTTACAAAAGAACAAAGAAACCAGTATTGAACAGTCTGTTAGAAATATGTGCTGAATTTAAGGAGTCACATTCTGGTCTCAGGGAATGTTGTTGAAATTTGCATTTTGGAGTGTTTTCTAGGTCGAGCAAGTGGGACTCAGAGTGTCTGTGTGTGTCTGCTGCTCAATAGAATGTCAGATTGATGCTTCAAGGATGTAGAATGGCTAAACTGATGACAAATTAGAATATTCAACTCTCTACATACCATTACTGCTTGGCAATGGTGATGCTGCTGGTGGAACTATGGAACTACAGTATAAACAGACTGAAACAGCAAGGGCACCCTGGCATTGACCCAGCACTGATCAATTCATGACTCCAAGACAGTTTGACATAGACCAACATAAAACATGAACAGTGGGTTTGTTACTGAACTAGAATTCACAGAAGAAAAAAACTTTTTTTTAATAAATTCAACAGCCAAACCAATACATATGGAATTCTTAACCCTTTCCGGTCAAATGGCTATATATAATCAACATGGTGACTGCGATTCCATGGGCAAATGTCTACATTATTGACAAAGTTTGTTTCATGTTTCTGCAGTCATATCTCGAACATACGTCACTAGTTGGCACTGTAGACTGTACCAACGCATGCATGAATGTTTTGTCTGCCACCTTCTGCCATCTGGAAGTCATGATTTGAACTTCTTGAGGAACGAATGCCATTAGATATCATCCCTAGAGTGATGTATATGACGAATCTAGTAGTGATATGTTAAGAACTTGATATTTTCTCTGATGATGAGATTAATTTGGAAATTGAAGGAGAAACTGCAAGTGAAGAATCGAGCAGTGAAATGTTGGAAAGTGAGAGCAAGAGTGAAACAAGTGTTCTTGCCTGTCAGTGGGTGGGAAGTACGAGAGTGGATAATGATGCACGTGGGGAAATGATGCCACCGGATAAAGTAATCGGGCCATCAAAAAGACAAGAATGAGGTGATAAAACATATAGAGAAGCAATTTCAGAAAAATTCTGTGCCAGGTAAAAATGATGTAATAGATGAAACAACAGTTGGGTTCAAGCGCAAAATAGTTTTTTAAACTTATAATCCAAGAAAAATCCAACCAGTGGGGCATCAGATTATTTGTATTAGCTGGCAGTGACACTGGTTATGTTCACAGTATCATCCCAAATTACAGAAATCTTACAAGTGATGTGTGTAACTTAACCATACTGTAACGTGTCTTGAGTTCGAATCTCGTTGGTCACGTGTGTAAGTTCGTATCCCACTTCTGACACCAGTGTAACGTGTTTCGTTACTGAAACCGCCGTTCGGATTGTTAACTGGTTTATTCAACAACCTACAAGAAACGGCTACAATTAATTATCACAATGTTATGGGTTTCCACACTTTACAAACCCTACAACCAAATCTCTTCACACTATCTTCAAGAGTCTTCACGTATTAATAACGCGGGAGCTATACAAGTCTCCCTGAATTACACACTCCAAATATAACTGTACTACAGCACTCACTAAGTCTTGAAAGCACACAATAAGTCTTCCGCTTGCTGACTTCTTAGTTATCGCACACTGTCACATAAAATCTTGTAACCACGCGTTCGGGTCTTCTTATCACGACTGCTGCTATATTTCAACTCGACTCGCAGGCTGCTGCCTTGAGAACTGTTGATAACACACTCTTACTCATTCACGGCTAGAACTGTCTTCGGCCGCTGATACACTTTAACTATCTCCGACGACGGCTATATTTCAACTCCACTCATAGGCTGCTGCCTTGAGAACTGTTGATAACACACTGGCTCTCGCTTGCTGCTCAGCTGGCTTATATTCCGTCCGCTGTTACCTGTTGCCCGCGTCAACAGTGTCGTTGCATGCCACGTAACAGTGTCTGCGTATAGCTTAGCAACGCTGTTACCTCACGCTGTCTTACGTCACCACTGTTGACTCGCGTTGCATAGCTACCAGAACGCTGGGACTCGGCTAACTTCGGCTCTGCTCGGCGCGTCAGCTCCGGGGGGGGGGTCCAGCTAGCGCGACATGTCACAATACTTTGAAAACCCATTCATTTTGAGAATAGTTCTTTTCTTGGTGGACAGTCTATGACTCAGTGTGTCTAGTATTGAAGGCTACTATCATTTCACTGACAGATATAGCAGTGTTGAGGTGGTCCAATAACTGGACAATTGAAAATGTAAGTACACGTCTGGCCTTTTCAGTTTATGCCCTTGCACAAACTCTTTGGGTAAAACAGTTCACATTAGTGGCTTGGTGGGCATTTAAAAACCCTTGGTGACCTGCTTGTGGAAGTTTTTCTAAATGCAACTGCTGGAAGTGGTTAATGGTCATGCTTTTCTACCAATAACAAAAAATATGAAAATTTTGAAGAAATTTTCCACTTCAGTATCTGAAAAATTCTGTGTAACTGAGGTGTAAGAAAACATGACACTTGATGATACAAGTGCCTTTGTTATGTGTTTATGACAGTGCTTGGTGGTTTGGGTATGTTAGGACAGTGAATGAGGACTTGCTGGAAGTGACAGTTTTCTCCGTCCTCATAGTCCATCACCATCATCTGTACTCAACCCCAGGATGAACACACACTTAACCATTTGCCAAAACACAGAGAATGATTGGAAAGTTGAGTGCAATGGAAGCTACTAATTATTGTGAACGAATTCTTGCTTCTGGGATATAACACTGTGCAGTCCAGTGCAAGTCATCCATTGTTTTGGATGAGCTGTGTGTGCTGCCTACTTCATGTTGGTCTCCTGCTTGGCTTGAATCTTTGACCCTGGAGGTGGAGGTGATATGCTCCTCCAAAATACTGGCTGGCTTGCTGGACTACATAGCGCTATATCCCAGAAGACAGAACTCTTCATAACCACCAGTGTGAGAACTTGAGATCAAATATACTAATTACCATGTTTACAAGTAAGAACACTTGTCTCTTGATGTCAGTAACTGTAGGGCTTACTGTTTTAAATGTGTCGTACATAATTTCTGTTTTATAGCGTGTGTGTGTTAATGACTTTGTTACAGGAGATCTACGATTGTCCCAGGATGACAGTTTGCTGTATGTTAGACTAGAACAGTATGAATTTTTTTTTGGAGGGGGGCCAGAATTAGTTATATTTTGTGAGAAGTTGAAGGTAAAAAATCACTTCAGATGACACTGAAATCAAAGTATTCTGTTTTAATGCAAGTTGTGCATCTGTGAAAATGTATTTCATGAGCTAAGAAAGAGCCATATGAGCTCTTTAGCTTGTACAGACCAATGTTAAGCTTTGTAGCAGAGGTGGTGTGCCAAAAATGTATGCTTTTATGATTTTTTGCATCCCTGCTCCACAAAAGCTACAAGACACAAGGTGATAAAATTTTGAAGAAATAGTATTTTCTGTGTAGTCTGCAAGTTCATGATTTTGGAGAAGATAAGATCTGAAAATTTCATTTTTATGTGATGGTTTAGAGTGGACTGACTCGCAGTAGAACTGCATTTTTGTTTGTTATATTGTAGCCTTTTTATAATATGATATAATGGGTTCATAATAATGAAATGTGATTGGAAATGGTTAATGAAACTTTATATTATAGACATTGGTTGTACTTATGTATACAACGTTCATGATGCTGTGTCACAATAAAAGCAAAAGGAAACACTGCAAGATACTTCTGATTTTATATATGGACTGGGCACATAATTTATCTGGAGACTATTTTGAATCAGCTGTAACTGCTAGGACCTTTCCTATGATGTTTTTACTTTTTTCGTATTATTGTTTTCCCCTCTAGGGATAGAATACATTATTTTCATGAAATCTGGAAAGGAAAAATCAGGCTGTAAACCATAAGCTAGTTCAATAATTCACACATGACCAAACAAAGTAGGATATTTCATTTATGTTTAGACTGTCTGGATTCAACCAAGGTTAGGATATGAATCTTGAGGCCCATATATGGTAAATAGACTGTGGTTTACAGGTGTTGCTTTTAGAATAGAAACACATTTTCTTTGGCGCTATTTGATGAAGAATTTTTGCACCTATGTTTGATAGAAGTCTCCAAGCATTGAAGGTATATCCAATTTCTATATATAGTAGAAGTTATTTTTAAATTTATTTTGTATCCTCATCTTTGAATTCCAGGTGAGTGTTGTGGGGATGCAAGTTGGGAAAGAGATTCGACCCTATCAGACATTCTCAGGGGATGAAATACTGATGCTGCGATATGGTCGCCTGACTGTAGAGGAAATGTTTCTTGAAGAACGAGTTCACAACCAATGGCTGACATGGGCTTTGCGTGGTCTTGGTTGGTTGATGATGTTTCTTGGTGCAAATTGCCTTACAAACATCTTGCATCTTATTGGTAAGTTGAGTTAAGTAGGATAAAATGGCAGCATGTTGTGTCATATATAATGTTACTCTTTTAATCCAAATTGATAATGGATTTGGTATTATTATAGTGAAACCTAGTTTACATATGACATAGTGTTGCAGTGATAAGTCACACAGTTATTGGCAGCATTAATACTTCAGTTCATATTACTTGTATTAAAAGTACTGTGGGTTCTTCTGAAGATGTTTCTCAAAGGAACATGGAATTTGAAGTTCTTAAGTGGGAAAACAAATTGCAATTAAAGGATAGGAAAAAAAAAGTTTATTAGATGAATTTTGGCTACAGTGAAATCCAGATTTAATGATCCTGCTTTTAGTGAATTTAATTAATATTTGCTCTTATCCCAGTGGAAATTGAATATTGTGACATGGTGGCTGAATGCAGGAATAGTTTAACAAATAGATGGGGCTGTTGCTAGGCAGTTATGTACTGGACACGTTTCTGCAGTAACGAATAAACACAGCAGATGAACCACGGAAAACAGTTTATCTGTATGGTTTGTATCAGTGTTAATATAATGAGGACATCAGCTGAGTTGATAGTAAAACATGGTCATGAGACCAATGGGACTGTTCTGGTAGCAGCCAGCAGCAATTTAGCAGTCAGTCAGTCAGTTGACAGTCATGAGTTGGAAGTTGAAGATCAGAGTCATTGGTTAGCAGTCAAGAGTCTTTAGTTGCGTTGTTAGACACTGCTTCCAAGCAATGACTGGTGAAGACACAGAAGACTTAGTGTTTGCAGTAGCAATTTTTAGAGTGTGTAGAGTAGTGAAAATGTTACAGTTATTTGTAGTTACAAGTTGTAAGGATTTAATAAAAATCAGTTATCAGTCAAAACCCCATGTCTAGTCACTATCACATGACAATATAAACAACATATTTTATTGTATTTAGTGTCTTTTATTTAATAGAAACGTGCATTTAATGTAAGATGTATTCAACCTTTGAGAACTCATGCATCAGTTTAGTATGACAGTGACCAAAACAGCAGTCAGTATTCTTGTTTTCCCCTACCTAAAATCGTTTCTGCAGAACCATTTTGTTTATTTCACATGTCATGAATTTAGATATTACAGATTGTGTCATTATATTTGCATAGAAACCTTTTTGTTCAGTTTTTACTTCATATGCCATTAACCAACCCCCTTGTTGGTGTCTCCACCTTATCGTGATGAGGGTGTTTAAGTATGCCAAGGACCCTGAGAGCTATACCAGTAGTAGCGTAGCTACTGGCAGGGCCTCCCTTGCTGGACAGGTCAAAGGGTAGGCATCAGATGAAGAGAGACACCAAAAACCAAAAACTGATGCCGAAAGTAGCGTCATCAGCAGCGACTTGAAGAAGAGAGCAAATGATGCTCTAGATAGTTCAAGTTCGTATAGCAACAGGCGTGATGAGAGTGGTTTGATGACATTGTAGATGTTGAAACATGTTGGGTAAACATCCAACCTAAATGTGTTGTATTTGGCGGTATATGATAAATGATTAATAAATAGCATTGTGGATTACAACAGAATGCAGCTCAGCCTTAAAATATTGTCTTTGTAAGGGTGACTGTTATACAGAGTTTTGGATTGGATGATTGGATTTACTGCACTTTATCATTACGTCCCAGTTCGGGACAGCTACAGTGCTATCGCTATTCTGCACACTTTGAAGTTCACTGTTACACACGCCCTAGGTTTCTTAGTCTTTACTAACTATATCCTGGCAACAAATTTATAGCAGTCTTACTGTAACTTCAAATCACACATGCAGTTTTCTTTGCACTGCCTGATTCCCTTTCTTGCCATTATTCTGTGACTGCCAATTCCAAAGACTTGACTCATTCAATTTCTCTGCTTCCAAGCTCATATCCCGGCAGGTTCACATCTCAAATCTCGTCTCTTCACTTTACTGCTACTGCTACTCTACTCAGCTATTATTCTATCCTCTTCAAGGGACCTTCTTTGTCCCTTTATAACACCTTGGCATGGACCCCCCCAAAAGCACCATCTTCCGTTTTTAAGGAGGCATGTTTACAGCTCTGTTGCCTAGCAGTAGACATTCTTCTGTTGCCGTTTGCATATATGTTGTGGGAATGTACCTGTCAGTGAGCATACACATCACAATATGATTATTTGTTACTGGAGTATATATTTAAATTGAAATTTGTCACGTTCCTTTTTTCCTTTTTAATTGTGAAGCGTAATGTAGCACTGGGGAGGATACATCACTTCAACTGACAAATTTGTCAAATCAGGTAATTATTAGGATTTATATTTGTTACAAACAAGAAAAATTAAAAGGAAGTGATCACAGCAGCATTACAAAGCTTGCTGTTTTAGCCTTACATAATGTCACATGTTAGTGACTGTACACAGGGTTTGGATTGATAATTGAGAGTATTGAAAATTTATAACTCATGACTAGGTAATTATAACACTATCCCTAATTTACACACTTAACAAATCACTGCTGCAAACACTAAGCCTTTTCAGTCTCAGGTAGCTGTGTCTCCACTAGTTGTTGCTTGGTAGTGGCTGCCAACACTGTCTTCTGCTTTTGTGCTCACATCATTGCCAGATTTCTGCCATCAGACAACTGGTCCTCAACTGCCACTCATAAATGTGGGGAGCCAAATTTTATGTTATATATCTGTTTCAGTTTTAAAGGCCAAGGCTTTGTGTCTCTTCATGGTAATTATCCCAATTGTTTTGTTATTTATTTGTGGTTATTTAACGATTTCATCATTATCTAAGAATATATGGAGTGAAATAACAGTGAGTTATGCAGGATGTGGAAAGAAGCAGTCAGGCACTGTCCTGGCATTTACCTGCAGGGACTGAAGGAAACCACAGAAAACTTCAGTTGGGATTGATGGTGTCAGGGCTCGGGACCTCCAAAGTATGTAGCAGCAGTACCATTCAGCCAAGATATTAAATGTGCTTTATTATATCTCTCAGTACCTCTTCTAGAGAGGTGCTGTATTCAACAAATGAGCTACCCACACTTCTGATAAATTTTAAAAGAATGGTGTTAATGATAAGATGTGTTCAGTTTCCAGGTATTCAGTCTTGCATGATTTGTTGGTGTTGGGTGTGAATTCTATGAATGTGGCAATATCTACATCAGCATCTTTGCTGGTAACATCATTTGCCTGGATTTGGTATCACCCAGTGCTTGGAGGTTTCCTCATGATTGGAGCAGCTGTGCCATTCCTGTATTCAGCAATTCAGCTCTACTGTGGTGACCACCAGGAAAACCGCTATCAGAGGTTGTGAATTCTTAGTAGTCTGTGGAAGTGATCAGTATTTTTGTGAGACTGAAAAGTTGTGAAGTAGAAGATATTTTAGGAATATGCTGTAGAAATCTTCAGTAGGGATTAAAAACATGTTTTATAACGTATTTGGTCCTACAGATTTAAGAAACTGGAAGGAAAGTGAAAAGTCTGAAGATACAGGTAGGCTGCATCAAAAATTGACTCTTTGTTAGTTGTACTGATTAGAATAAGCTTTATAAGGAACTGATTTTTACCAAAGATTCAAATTTTAACCTTTGAGAGACGGGGTATTTAAATTGTGGTAGTTGTAGCAGGCCAGAGTTTATTTAAATGCCTGCAGATCTAGAAGATTAAATTTGTGATCATGTTACTAAAAATGCTGTAACTTATACAATTTTTGTGGTAAATGGACGAAATTAACGTTGCTTTTATCTAGAAAGAATATAGAATCAGATATTGTAATTTAAAGCCTTAAAAATCTGTAAAAATTCTCACACCGATTTTTTTTTATATATATAAAGATTTTGAGCATTTGCCTACAATTCTACTTTCACCTCATGCACAATATGTTTCAGCAGTATAAATGTTGGCTCCTGGTTTATCAATTAGAGACCAGAAGTTTATATTTGTTTCTGCTGCATCATATTCTCAGATTACAAACATTGCCTGTTCCTTGTAGCATACATAGTAAATTCTTGGGATGTTACATCAGAAGGCAGTTGTGTGATACAGATTCAGACTGCGGTACAGATGATTTTGACAGTGGTCATGACGGAAGCTCCGAAAGTGAAGTCAACGAAGAACCATTATCTTCGTCAACAATCTGGGGACCACCACGTCAGCATGACAGGAGGGGTGTGAATAATTTTTCCAATGGAGCAGTGGGGATATCTCTCGATAAAGCTCCACATGTAAATAAGGATTCCGCCCCACTCTGCGTTTTCATGCTTTACTTCGCAGGAATTATCCAGCTGCTGGTGGACGAGACTAACAGATATTATCACCAAGACCTAGACAGACTTGAAGACAGACCTTCTCCGCGCCCAGATGTAACCGACTCCGAGATGTTTCTGTTTCTAGGAATTGTTCAAATGGGACATAATATAAGGGACAGACTAAAGGACTACTGGTCAATTGCTGAGCAATTTTGCACGCCTTCCTACAGCAACACAATGAAACCGTGACCGTTTTCTTCACCTTCGTTTCATTCATTTTGCAGATTACAATACAGAATTTGACAGGAATGCCAACAGTTATGACCGACTATGGAAAATTAGGACCATCTTCGATACTGTAAATGATGCATATCAAAAATATTATCATCCTTCTCAACATTTGTCTGTTGATGAAATAATTGTCAAATTCAAAGGAAGGGTGGTTTTGAGACAGTACATTCCTAAGAAACACAAACGTTTCGGAATCAAAATCTACAAACTCTGTGACGCTGCTGGGTATACTTACGACATGAAGGTTTACTTGGGGAAAGACAGGACAGGGACCTCTGCAGAAGGGTTGAGGGAGTAGGCCACAAACTATACACGGACAATTTCTTTTCATCACCAGACTTGTTTGACGAACTAATGATGAAGAAAATAAGTTGCTGTGGGACATTCAGACTGAATCGGAAGGGCTTGCCTCAAGACTTTCGCAACAGACAACTTCAATTGAAGAAAGGTGACATGTGGGTTAGGGTGAGAGGGGACGTGACAGCACTAGTTTGGAAGGATAAAAGTGAGGTTCATATGTTGACAAACATGCACTCTCCTCCAGCAGAAGGCAATTTCTGTGATGAGCATGGAAATGCCATCAAACCAGCAATTGTTGCAGATTATAAGCACATGGGATATGTCGACAAGGCAGACAGAATGACAAACAGCTATTCCATCAGTCGTACCTGGAAATGGACAAATTGTTCTTCCATCTCCTGCATCTGACGACTCTGAACAGTTTCATCATGTTGTCATGCTGTGGTGTGAGACTTTCGTTTCACCCTTGTGAGAAATATGCTGGAACATGCTGCAAGGAGTCTACCTCGACCCCGTGCTCTGTCATCTACAATATGTTGGATTAGAGGAAGCCAATCGACATCACTGGCCAACTTCCTCAACCACGAGACTGAACTGTCGTGTGTGCTCTTCATGTGCAAAGAGGAGAAATATCCAAACAAAGTGCATAGAATGTGACGTTGGACTCTGCATTTTTGGGTGTTTCCAGGAGTACCACACGAAGGCTAGATTCAGTTAGATCAGTGGTTCTCAAACTTTTTACCTCTGAGCCCCCCTGACAAGAGAAAATACTCTGAGGCCCCCAGCCTGTTTGTTTTTATCAAAATAGAAGTCATGGTATGTTTGACGTTTTATTCAGTTTTTTTGTGTTTTTCTACATACTTTATAGCAGTTTTTTATTCCAAATTAAAGTATCGCAATATTAGGCCTACAGTAAAAATTAGTTTTAACACTTGCAATTGAGAACAAAGTTTATCAAAACATGGTGTAATATCAGAAATGGCCACTCTAACTTCTTTAGTGATATTTAGCCTTGAATGATACTTTGACTTTATAGCTGCCAAAGCAGAAAAGCCTGTGTCGCATAAGTAAGTTGTTGCGAAAGGAATCAGCATCTTCAGTGCTTCTTGGCTCAAAGTTGGGAATTCCTTGCCAATATGTATCCAGAACTCCAGCAAAGACAATTCCTTAAATTTACTTTTTAATGAAGTATCACTAGTGAGATCAACTAGTTGTTCTTGCTCATTTACCTTCACAGATGATGGCCCAGGAACATTTTCGAATGCATTTTTAATCCAATTAAATTCATCAAAACCACTGCAAAAGTATTTTTCGAAATGAACTTTCAACATTATGAGATGATCAAGTAGGCAGCTTTTTATGTCCATTGGAAGCACTGGATTATCAGTGTCTTGTACCATTGACACCAGAGTAGGGAACATGTCTAGCGTGTCACTTTCCATACTGTTTCTCCAGAGCTCTAATTTTCTCATGAAAGCCTTCACTTTGTCATTCCAGGAAAGTACAGTTGCCTCATTCCACTAAAGTGAAATGTTGAGGATATTTAGTTCCTCAAATATATCTGTGAGGTAAGCCATTTTTCAATAAAAAATCCTTGTTGCTGAAACTGCCTGCCAGTGAGCGATTTTCCCCATTTAAGAAACAGAACACCTCATGCCTCAGCTCAAACATTCTCTTTAATACCTTGCCTCTTGAAAGCCATCAAGCACCACCAAAAAAGAACAGAGCAGTGTGTTCGGCACCCTTTTCCTCATGCAGCATTTTAAAAATTCTAGACTTCAGATGATTTGTCTTGTTAACATTGACGGTTTTTACAATCATTTGCAGTGCTTCATGAAGGGGTGGGCTGAGTTCATTAGCTGCCAGAGCCTCCCGATGTATCATACAGTGAGTCCATACCGCTTCGGGAGCAACAGCTTTAATATTTGCTTGTAATCCAGCACGGAATCCAGACGTTGAATGAGCTCCATCTGTACATATCCCATTTTCATTAAAGAAAGCATTATTCATGTCAAAAAGGCTTTGAGCTGTTGCTGTTTTCAAGATAGGCTCACACAAAAACAATTCCTCTTGCATATTACACTCGTCAACAAAACGAACATACTCAATCAAATGAGCATCTTTATGAATAGCAGTCGCCTCATCCACTTGAAGTGCAAAGCACTTGTTATGCAACTTCTCAATTAAATGCTGAGATAAATTGTCAGGAATGTCTGAAATTCTTCTACAAACTGTCATTAGAGAGGGGGATATTTTTAAATTGTTGAGCAGAAGAGTCACCCAACATTGTTGATACTATGTCAGTCGCTGCTGGTAAAATCAGTGTTTCTGCAATTGTATGTGGTTTCTTGCACTTAGCAATTCTATGAGAAACCTAGTAAGAGGCTAAAAGGGCCTTAGAAATCACATTTGTTGTTTTAGCAAATTTCTGTTGGGTGGACTTTAAACCACTAAGCTTTCTAACAAAAAAATCTCTTGGTTTATTTGTAAACTTCGGATGTTTGGTTTCAACTACCACAGATTCACTGAAGCAGATCCTGGGAGAAACAAGGCAGTGTGCACTACGTGAAGTGCGGTTGCTTTCCGAGTAAAAGTAACAAAATATTTGCAGATATGAACGTAGTCTTTTTTTTTTTTGCATGAGAATTTTTTTTGAGACTTAACAGCTTGTGTTTGGGGCACGCGGTAGCATAGTTGGTTGAGGCACTGTGCTGCAAGCCGGAAGGTTGCGGGATTGAATCCCGATGAGGTCACTGGATTTTTTTCAATTGACCTAATCCTTCCAGTTGCACCATGGCCCTGGAGTTGGCTCAGCCTCTAACAGAAATGAGTGCCAGGAATATTCTTGTAATGTTGGGGGTAAAGGGATCACCGCTGCACATGTAAGGCTGACAACCTTATCACCATCTATGAACCGACTGGAAAATGTGGGAACCTCAACATCTGGAATGTCTATAGCTTAATAATTTATATAGGTTAGTATTGTAGCAAAAAGAATTTTTCACTGTTTTAATTTTAAGGGGAATTTGGAGCCATTGAAATTACAAAGGAATGTAGAAAATAATTTATTTATGTGTTTATTTGTGGGTCATTTAACCTTTAAGAGCCGAAAGACACCGTATGGGGACCTTTAAAGTAAAGCCGAGTGGCTGAAATACACCGTATGGGTATGCGCAGTCCACACGTGCGCACAGTGTTTTAAAATCTAATTTTAAGATAGAAATTCTTGTTCTACTTACATTATTTTTGGACACCAGCTTTATAAGTAGACTGTCTTCCCTCCTGTGTCATCTAACTGAATGTTGCCTTCGTGTGGAACTGTTGGAAACATCCGGAAATGCAGAGTCCAACGTCGCACTTCAAGCATTCTGTCTGTAATTAACTCTGTTTTCCACGTGAAGCACGCACACGCAATGTTAGTCTTGTATTAGCAGGAAGTAAGCCAGTGATGGCGAGTGATGTCCTCTATTCATAACGCTTATAAAACATCGCAATTTCAACTATGCACCATGGCCCCTTTTCGCATTGAAGGAGTTTAAATTCATAGGCCGCTCGTAAATCACACAATTCAGAATGTGTTACAGTTTATTGTGAAGGGATGTGGAAGCAAGTGGTATGAGGTGATATTCCAAGAACTGCCTCTGTGTGGATAGTCCGACATAAGTGAATAAACAAACAGAGTTTCATAAGGCAATGTAGGATAAGAACTCGCCCACACTTGCGTATACAAGAGCCTACGTGACTGGAGAATGTGCAGACCGTAAACACACTCTCCTATTGCCAGATAACCACACAGACAGTGGGTCAGCACTATGCATTTATACTGCAGAAACATATTGTGCAGAAGCTGTATGCATTTTTGTGGACAGCCGCTCAAAATGGGGGAAAAATTTCTTTTGGAATCAGTGTAACAATTTTTACAGATTTTAAAATCTGTAAATTACAATATCTGATTCCATATACTTTCTAGATAAAAGTAGTGTTTATTTCGTTCATTTATCACAAAAATTGTAGAAATCACAGCATTTTGAGTAACATGACTACAATTATTATTACTCTACAATTGCGGGCATTTAAATTAACTCCGTCCCGCTGCCACTACTGGAATTTAAATGGCCCGTCCCCTAAGCGTTAACATGTTGAATGGAGGAATGAAGGAATGATAAAGGGATGATGGTTTGGAAAGGATTTGGAAGGAACTGGTCCTTGCCTAATTGAAGCACTGCCCTGGCATTTGTCTGGAGGGACTGAGGAAAACCATGGAAACACCAGTCAAGGTAGCTGATGCCTCAGTTGAGATTTAAACCAAGGATTTCCTGAATACAAGTAAAAATCATTACCACAGTGCCATCTGATTTGACAAGTATTAAATAAATGAATAGGTTCTGTAGCCTTTCCTATTTAGGCAGTTGTCATCACTGGAATCATTCATTTTTAGAAGCTTGATGCAGTATGCTTCAGTATAATCTGTGTTATATAATTTCATTTCCCAGCTGCCTAGGCACAACCATTAACCTAAGTGTCAAGGTCACAGCACATGCCTCAGTGTGTATTATTCATGAACAGTGCAAATGCAAAGGCCTGTACACAGCATCAGAAATTCTGCCATGCAGTATGATTTTATGCATTTTGAAATATGGATAAACATGGACATTTTGGTCGTCATGTAACCATTCATTCTGACTGGAGGACTGTTGTGCATTAATTAAATCTGTATTAAGTTAAGATTACAAAATTACAAACAAAGAGATCCGGCATATAGCCAGCTCTTACACGCAGAAGGGACATAGTTCAAGTTTTGCTATGTGGACAGGAAGTAACATCTGGTAATTTCCTGGAATTCTGGCAGTTTCAGCAAAGTCGGAAAGTCTTTGGGAATTTGAGAGCTGACAGGTTGGGACAGCTATAACTTAGAAGTGGGACGGCCGGAGCCTCATACCCTGATCGTAATGCATCAAGGGGCTGTCAACCTTAGCGTCAGGTCAGCATCTGCCAGAATCACATAGCAAAGCAACATGATTGGAAATTCAAAATTTAGGGCACCTCCTAGTTTGAAAACTTAACCAATGGCAGAAATGGAGGAGTGGATTTCTCTTGGAGTCTGGTGTTCGTGGACCTCAGGATTCAGAGAGAGGGCATTCCACCTCGAGGAGTCTTGATAAACTTTCGGCAAAGTCGGACACAAAATTTACAACTACGGCCCTTCCGTAAAGTATTATAAGTAAAGTTCAAATTAAGTACTAATAAATTCAGTTGTATTCCATAAGCTGGAGGGAATTAAATGACCACTAAGTGCAACGGTCGAAAAAGGTGTGTGATTGTAGTGAAAGGTTCTTCCTGCCCTGCCCAAGCCAGACCCGTATAAGACCTGGGATAGGAATTCAGCTCTACAAATTACTGAACAGAACCCAGATACTCCCGTCTTTACCTGCTCTCGTGTACCAGCTCCAACAATCACAATTCTCCTCCCTCCCCACCTAACTTCTTGACATCCACGAGAAGAGGGAGTACGGTGATAAGTGGAGCACAAACGTAGGGTAAAGGGAGGACGGCAACAGCGTGGCGCTCAACGTAAAGGGCCCAAAGAAGTGAGCGGTTACAATCACAATAGAATAATTATTTTGTGTCATAAATCAAACATCATATGACTTATTCTTGGGAGTCTTCCTTCGCTGACATATTGACCTACTGCCAGGGTTTTGCTTATTGGTGAGAAGATGCACTGCACTATTTCTTTTTCAAACAGTGAGCTCTTCCTGTGTCTGCATTTTTCAGTGCATATAATGTCCTTTTTTACAACTTCTGAAGCCTTTGCCCATAGTATTTAGACTTGAAGCAAGACTTCAGTAATAACTGAAGAAATCTTCTATGTGTAAGAAGACCGCAGCATTTACATTCCCTGGATAAACTGACACATAATAGAATACAGAACAGTACAGGTGATCAGTTGACCAGGAATCGGCAAGATGCCACAGTTGAACAGTGAGTACTGCAGCTTCATGTCTGGCAGATTGCAGAATAAAATCTCAGCCTGGAGACTGGGTCTCCTGATTGAGGCATTATGTGGCCTTCCTTAATCCCTACATGTAAATATCTTAAATTGGTCCACAACTGTTTCCTTCCATATTCGTTCCAATTCCTTATTCATTAACCATCATTTCATTTGCTGCTGCATATTCTGATTAACAGAAAATGCCTGTAAATAGACCAAGAATTATTAAAATGTTCTTCTGATTATTGTGATACATCAAAATTATCAGAAATAGGAAGCAATACTATCCATTTGTTTACTGACACTTTGAGAAATGACTGATTATCTAGGGTTGATGGCAGGATGATAAGTGAATGATATAATGAAAAGATGTCGGAGGAAGTGGTTGGGACCTGTTTTAAAGCATTCCAACATTTGCCTGGGAGACTAAGGAAACAGACTGGAAACGTCATTCAGGATAGATGATCTTTGTGCCAGGTTTTTGAACCTAGAATAACCTAAGTGTGGATGAAGGTACTCTGCATTGATATTATGTAAAATAACATGATTCAGGCCATGACTGTGAACACTGAACTGATGTACTGTAGTATCTTATTCACTTCTTCTTTTGTGCCATGTTTGATTTTCTGGAACCATACCATTGCTTTCTTCTGATAAATTATGTGTCCTTTTAATGCCAAAATCATCAGAGGTAAACTGTGCTTCAAAGTCCATATCAACATCAGTTTTTCCATATCATGCATTGAAAAATGTGAATGTTTTTCATGGTGTTGGAAGAAAAACTACTGATTATTATGTGGTTCAAACCAAATCCATATGGTTCAGAACATCAATTTAAGGCACCGCTTCACAGCAGGAATACAGAACATTCCAATAAGGTGGATCCAGATTGTATGTGCTAGAATCAAATACTTTTTTAAGTAATATTTTGTCGTTAGAATATTAACTGCTTGTCTACTTATTGCACTGTTCACTCTTTTTTTGTCTGGGCAAATACATTTTATTTTCATTGTGTTAAGTTTTACTTAGTAAGGTATAACATCTTTAATAGTTGATGGATTTCAATAAGTGTGTTATTCAGTACACACTGGATGCATTAGGAATATAATAGCTTTTACTGTAGTAGTTGAGCTTTGTATGATATGTGCTGAAACATATGTCAACAGAGGGACCATCTGCATGATGAAGGCACCGAAACACTGTCTGCCTCCTCCTATTTTGTTTGTAGTACACAGTACTCTTTTTG